TCTTCTGGATCTAGATTTTGTAGTCTTCATTGCTTGAAAGCTACAAAGATGGAGAGGACTTAGAACATGGCAAACACCATAGTTGATTTCTTCTTTGTCATTGGCTACTGACAAATTATCCTTCTTATTTTTAAGTCATTATAAGTATTTATAGACGCACTATCAGATTATGAATTATTTGTTATATATTTATTTTTCAGGGTAAGGGCTGCAGTGTGACAGGGCTGGTTTTAGAAGGTGGAGGTCATAACGAGGGAGGAGCCTTTGGGGAGCAAGAAGTAGTTCGTGAGCTGCAAGCAGCTCAAAACCAAGTTTTTTGTTCTTTTGAAGACACAATTAGTGGAATCAGATCTGGGGAAGTGAAGGTAATAAGTGGGGAAGTGGAGTGTATGGGCTGCAGAGAAAGGTACATAATGGAAATTGCTCTACATGAGAGGTTTGCAGAAATGCACAATTTCATTGAGAGTAATATGGAACACCATGGGCACAAAATTACGGAGATGTATTCAGATCTTAGTTGTACACACTGTGGAAAGAAGTTGGTCATCCCTGTTGGTTCTCGGAACATGGAAGCAAATGACAGCTATTGGCTGGTTCTATTTCTCTTGAAGAAAATTGGCAACACCACAGTTCAACAGAGGTTGGCTTTTATGAAGAGATTGGATCCTGCATTTAAGAATCCAGTGAATCGAGACAAGCTTCTCTTTCAGGTCTACTACCAGATTTACAAACAAGTGTATGAACGTTTTTGATGGTAAGATGAATGGTTTGGTGCTGCCAGTTGTAGGAAGTATGAAAATCCATTGAGTAATATTATAAGTTTTTGCTTTTTACACTTTATGGCTGGACTTATTGTCAAGTATAAACTTTTGGAGGATTAGTTTCAATATATCAATATCATTGATTGAACATTATCATCTGAATGCCTTTGTTTACTTTCTGTTATTCTTTCTCTTTTCTTTGCTGAGTTTGAAATCTATTGGCTAGAATGTGAGTTTGATATATGATTTGAAATCTAGTGTAATTATCTTCTTTGCTGAGCAATTTGCTTATGGATTTGTATTATGAGTTGGCTTTATGCACTTAGATTTGGGTTCAATTGCCCTTTCTCTTTAAGGAGGCGCTCTACCTCTTCTGTTTCTCATGTTATTATCAATGAAATGTTTTATTTGTTTATTGATTTATAGAAGACAAAAAGTAATTTGTTTTTGCTTCAATATCCATTGACTGATATAACAAGTTCATTGCTTTTTACCCTTAGATTGGTGGGCTTATTGTCAATTGCACTTTCACTTCTAGGCACATCTTACGATTCTTACCATGTAGTTGGTTGTTATGACAGTTGCCTGGACCTGAGTAGCTTCTTTCATTAGTATTGGCAGTTTAAATTTTAGTATTCCCAGTCACTTGAAATATCTTGGTAGTTTCTACGAAGTCTTTGCATCAAGGGAGTCAAAGAGCTTCCTATCCGGATTTGAATTACTGATTCATCAATTCTACCCATTTAACCATATATGATTGTTGTGTGTACTGTATACTTGGATTGATCAGTTTGTCCATAGTTACTGCTTGAGCCATCTTGCGCCGCTCCCCCATGTTCTGACATAGCAACACATATTTTCCACATATTGCAAACACCTTTTCAGTCCTCACATTTATCGCATAATTCTCCAACATCAGATCACTAATCCCAGCCCCCACACTTATCCATGTGTGATCCCTTATTAAAGGTCTCCTTGCACAGTCAAGAGAACAGAAATCTTTTTTTTTTTGGTGAAAGTAATTTTTCCATTAATCCAATCCCTGAAGGGTATGTACAAAAATATACAAGGCAACCTGGTTTTAACAATGTAAATCAAGTCCAAGACAATGTAGAATCAAAGCTATAGTGCTATTCTAACATGCTGCATGACTTTCCCAATATCTCATTAACTTTACAACTTCCCTCCGGGGAAATCTTGATATTACGCTCCTTCCACATGAAAAAAGTTACAGCCGCCAAAGCAATTCTAAGCTTCTTGCTAGACATTCTTCTGCCTTTACTAACCTGTTGAAACCAAACCCATTCAAATGGCCACACACCATGGGGTTCCTTACAACTCTACACCAACACTCGGTGCTATACTTCCAAGTATACATAGGCCCAGACAAGTGATCTCTTGTTTCTGCATATGCTCCACACAGCCCACATAAATGGATCCACCTGAATGCGAAACTCCTTGGTTTTCAATCTATTCACTATTCAGCATTGCCAACCACAAGATAAAACTATGCCTGCAGATGATCCCGCCGGCCCATACACTCCTGCACCATGGAACCATTCTTTTCCAATGTCTCAAGAGCAGGGGCTTCATATATAAATTCTGCAAAGCAAATTCTCCGTTAGCATGCAGAAGCCAAACTGCTTTATCACTACAAGATTGCAGCTAATGCCCTCGTATTCTGTCAGTCGGCAAGGAGAACCTTCTACAAAAGCTAGTAGGCACACAACCATCCATTATCCTACCACCAATGGCACTCTTATTTTTCAACTCCAGCAATTCATATTCACTTCAGAACCTATGATTTCCACTTTCATTTCCCATCCATCTGTCAAAGAATAGGGAAGCTTGCCTACCATCACCAAGCTGCGTAACAGTATATCTCCACATCCGCGCTCAGTTGTAATATTTTTCTCCAAGACCAAGAACTATCAGTGTGGATTCCAACAACCCTTATCCTTTTATCCTTCAAAACACACATTCCTAACCCACTTCACCCACAAACTGTTTGGATCAGAGCACACCTCCCATATATATTTACCCACGGCAGTCCCAACCCCCCCCCCCCCCCCCCCCCCTTCCTTCATTTTAGGCACACAAATGTCCTCCCAAACCACTTGAGCAATAACATTACCATCCCATTTACCCTTCCATGCAAACCTTCTACAGTATGTGTCCACCAAATCTAGTACCCTACTTGGAAGTATAAATGCACTTACTCCAAAAAACTTGTAAATGAAATAGGAAAGAATTTACCGGCCCAGAAGAAGAAAGATGCTTTGCAGACCAGCTATTGATCCTGCTCTCTCTTAACTGACTCCAATACTGATATGCAGTCAGAGAATTTAAAGGCACCCCAATTAATGTATAGGCAGCTTGCCTTCAGAAAATGCTAATGTATGCAATATGTTCTGCTTCACCATGCCAGAAACTCCCTTAATGAAGACTTAGCTCTTAACTAGATTAACTTGAAGTCCAAAAACATAAGAGAAATCATCCATTACTTGCTAGAGTCTCAGTGCACAATGCTCTTTAACTTTACAGAATAGCATTAAGTCATCTACAAAGCTAAGGCGAGCCAATTTTAATGGCTTACATTTGAGATGATACTAACACAGGGCATCTTCCTCTAGCCTTCTCATTAACTTGCTAAAATACTTCATTCCCAACACAGACAGATAGGGAGACATTGGGTCCCCTTGTTTGAGACCTACAGACTAACCATTTATTATAAGTGAAAACATAGTACCAGAGGTACAGGTGTGAATAACCTGCACAGGAAACCCGATAGCCTTCATCATATACTTGGAAAAGCTCCATGAGATTGAGTCATAAGCCTTCCTAATGTCCAGCTTCATCAGACACCCCAATCGCTTGCAACCCTACTATATCCCTTCACAAGGTCCTGGCATATAAGAATGTTGGCCATTATTGTCCTACCCTCCATAAAGGCTCCATGCTAAGAACTTATCATATCACTAAGGATAAGTTTCATCCTGCTAGCAACAAGCTTAGTACGGTAATAATTAATTATATATTTATATATAAGAGGAATAGAAACCTGCCATATGATTTCTCCTATAACGAAAAACAGCTTTGCGCATTAACCTATAAATCTATCTGATTACTACAAATAGCCCATAAATGCTTTCCTATTGCTGCTTCATTACGAGGCTTAAGTTGCTTCACACCTAAATCCTTGAAGCACATACACATCATCGCTAGACACCAATGCCATTTATTTAATTGTTTCGGGTCAATTTCCCTCCCCCAAAGAAAATTTCTTAAATAGTTAAAAATGAATTTCCTCACTTTACTAGGCAAGAGAAGTGGACGGCATGTTCTCCCAGCATGGGATGGTTTTCTATTAGCCCATGGATGATGTTATTCTTTCATTAATTCTCCTCAAAATAGGCATACAATTGATCGCAGAGAATTTTGAAGAGATAAGGGGAAGTCACAAATACCTTACTGGGAGTTTCCCCTCCTAAAAACCAAGATGCAATAATTGAAACTCTTTCACAACGGGTGCAACCCCGCGAAAATATATATATATATATATATATATATATATGGATATTACCCTTTGCAACATTGATCCAAAGCCCTAAAACTACTGAAAATTTATCAGAACACCATTTCGAGGCTGATGTGGACTCCTTGTTTCCTTGAAAAATACCGTCACATCATCTGGCACAAATTTAAAGAAACTATCAGCATTTAACTCTAACAATTTTTTAGAGAAATATTTCAAATATCAATTATATATAATATTTAACATTTATTATAGTCAACTGGGCATGTGACCTAATTGGTTGGCTCCAAGCCCTAAAAATTGGGTGAGGCGGAGGTCAGGGCTTCGAGCTCTGCCACCGCCGTGAACTCCACCAACTTGCGACCTAATGGTCGCGCGCCTTAAATGAGGGGGTGGAATGTTCACTTTCCTGAAAAAAATTCCAATTGCTAACAAACTAACTCTACTAACTTCCTAACCATCTACATGGAAAAAAAAAAAATAATTTAACATTTAGTATAAAAGTATCAAATTTTATGATTTGAATTATATTAAATTGTAAAATAAAAACTTTAATACTAAAAAATTCATTTCTTATCTCATGATTGTAATTACGTAATTCAAAATAATTTAGAATGTATAATATTTTTTTTATTATATAAATTTTTTTTTACAAACAATTCTTAAAAGGCCAAAATAAAAAATTAGAGAAAGTATGAGCGCTTAAGTTCAAATATGTGCTCTTATATAGGCAAAACCATAAGTTAAGCCCCTGAACTAATCCCAAAATCGCTATTAAGCACCCAAACTTTAATTGAAGCATTTAAGCCCCTAAACTCTGCAATAGAAGCAATTTAGCCCTTACTCTCACAGCCAACTTAACTGCTGTTAATTGTCATTAACTGCGGTTTGCGGTATTGCCTTGTGTGGCAAAATTGGCCATCTCACTCTCACGTGGCAATTAATGGACTTGATATTTGTGTTGACTCAATGCACTCCAAGAGGGGGGGGTGAATTGGAGTTTCAAAAATTCTCCCCTTTTTGCAACCACAAAACCAAAAATAAAGAGAGTAGAGAACAAGAGCTTGCACAATGATTTTATAGAGGTTCGGTCCAACCACTTGGAGCCTAGTCCTCTACCTTGGCTTCATTCACCAAGGATTTCCTCCACACTCTCCACTAACAAAAACAATGGTGGCTTAAATGAGCCATTCAATCCTTTACAAGAAGAAGGGTGTTTCTCTCAAATCTCACCCCTTTACAATGTAAACCCCACAAATCCTCTCAATAGATCACTCTTGAAGGAATCAATACACCCCCAATATCACTCATTAATAGCACAAGAAGAGGATTACAAACAAAGATCTCTCAAAGATCAAAATCTCTAGTTAAAGCACAAGTTGGTAGGTAAAGATATTCAATATAATGTTCTCCAAACTTCTTCAGATCTATTACCAACTATATTTATAGCTCCTTGTTCGAAAATAGCCGTTACTAGTCGTTGGGGGTCATTAAATGCTTTGCAGGACGCAAAGCTCGAGTTGCAGGATTGTCAGGAGAGCAGGTTTAACTTCCTAGAGCGGGCTCTGCACAGCTGGCTCATCATTTCTGCAGCTGGCTTTACGGGATTCCTGCACATTCTGTTTATCTCGAGAGTCGGCTGCAAAACTTTGAGCCGGCTTTGGAACTCCGACTTTAAATACATTAAATAATCTTCAAATAACTCGACCGTTGTGCATTAAATGCACCCTCACAGCTGGCTACAAAGTTGGAGCCGGCTCTGCTTCCATTCTTCGCGCGCGCCAAAAACAGCAGTTGAATTTGTCCTATAGAGCCGGCTCAACAAAATCTGCAGCCGGCTCTCTGCATTTTTGCTTCCCAGAGCCAGCTGCAATTTTCTTAAGCCGGCTCTCTGCATATTTTTACCCTTTGAGCCCTTTTTAATGCAATCTCATTTTGCTTACTTGGCAGCATATTGGCAATTTAACTATGCACTTAAATAAATCAATTAGTCACTCAAATGTGTTTTGTAATCATCAAAATCATAGGTACAACAATCTCCTCCTTTTTGATGATGACAAAACAGTTTGATCATAAGGCATATATACTTCAATATTAACCTCAAAATTTCAGCACCAAGAAAATGACATTAAGACATTAAGACATTCCAGAAAATTATGAGAATTCAACATACTTTCTCCCCCTTTTTGTCATTCATCAAAAAGTATATAAACATAAGCAATAAACTCCCCCTTAATTCATGCTATCAACCTTTAAAGCATCAAGAATATGTAATGAATATAATCATTAATCATCATCAATATAGCACCATAGACAACCAAGTCATGAATACAATCATCAACCAATAAACTCCCCCTCAATAAGAGCATATAATCATCAAAATCATAGACAATCAATACCCAAAAGTCATGCCAATATCAACACAAGTCATACCACAAAGATTATATCATACCAAAGTCAAATGCCATGAGAATTCATAATACATGATAAAAGGTTCAAGATGAAGAAAAACATAGATAAACTTAACATACATAAGCCTAAGATGTCCATCCTAAAAATTAGCCAATACTGAAGAAATATCAAGTTAGTTGGCATTAGGTGGGGGTGGAGGAAAAAAATGGTTAACAAGATGATCAAGTTTTCAATCCACGGTATCCATTCTCCCTCTCATTTTTGTCCGGAAATCATAGAAGTCAGTGTGCAGCTGCCGCATCTCATTTATCATCAACTCCATGGTTTTACGGTTAGTTCTTTGCATGGAGACTCGAAATGGTCTTGGGCTGTCACCTTCATGTTTTTCTGCCCCTTGTTCTGCCATTTCTTGATCTGTATCACCTTCTTCTTCATCCCCTTCTTGTTCCCCTTTCTTTATCCAAATGCCATTTCTAAACAAACAGTCCATTTTTCAAAAGAAGCTTTGGTAAGTGTAGTCCCACCAGGAACCGTTCCGAACCTAAAGGATGTAAGATCAATATTGTTCCTCTTCACCAATCTGGTAATTAAAGCACCATGAGGAAGTCCCGTAGTTGGTGAGTAAGGCTTGATTATGCTTCGGAAAATGAATCTTCCTAGGTTCACCCTTTTTCTGTTAAGAAGATAGTCGAACCAGGGAAGATCACTAGCAAGAACATAAGATTTAGAACCCTTCCTCTGAGCAATAATGTAAGATATAATCCATTGCAATGCTCTATTCTCTGGTGTAAGAGACCCCACTTTAATTTGATTTTCAGTGCAATTGGGGGCAATTGTGGCTCTAACTAATGCATGATTTACATTCTCAAACTTATCATCTTCTACTTCAGGTATAGCTAATACAACACAAATATCCTTTGGTGTAAACTGAAATGATACCCCAGCAACCATGGTTTTGCATTTATTCCCTCTTGGTTTCAAATTAGCATAGAATTGATGAACAACTTCATAGTACGCAGGCTCTTTAATTTCTACATAATCCTTCCACTCAATTTCTCTAAATATTTGTTCAACACACATATCTCCTTGAGGAAATTAATTGAATTTTACACAATTGCAAGATAAAACAGCCATATTCTTGATAATTTCATGCTTTGCAGAAGCTTGGGTATCCAAAAAGAGATTTGATTGGGAGATGTTACATTTTTCTTGAGCTTGACCACCGGTGCTAGAACTACCCACTTGTTTCCTTTTACTTCCAGCCCTCCTTGAAGCCATGACAGAGAAAACACAGCAGATCCCACACAAATTGGAGTGAAGCTTGAGGATTTGTGTTGGGTAGGCAAGGATTTGATGGTATTTGAGTGTTTAAGGGATGGGCTTTAGAGATTTTGAGAGATTTTGGTGTTTGGGAGAGTGAATGGTGAGTTTTGGGAGAGGAGAGGTCGTGGGTTTGGGTGAGAAAATGAAATAGATCTGGCTGGTTTGTGTGAGGAGAGAGAAACCCAAGTCTTAAAATTCTGCAGGAGAGCTGGCTATAATTACAGAGCCGATTGTAAAGCGGGTCCGGGTTGGGTCGCCTGCGGTTTGAGTTGGCTGGTGAACCTAGAGCCGGCTGTGGTTTAGAGAGAGAAGACTCTTGGTTTTTTTGGGTTGAGTCGGCTGTTAACCTAGAGCCGGCTGTGGTGTAGAGAGAGAACACTCTCGGGTTTTTGGTTGAGCCGACTATGAAAATGGTTGAGCCGGCTCTACTGGCCTTGATTGGGACAAACAGAAAGTTTGGGGCTGTTTTGAAGGGAGTATACCTAATTTGATATTTCTTCATTTAACTAAGTTTAAATTGAACATCAACTACTAAATTATGTAACTTTAGTCATATATCAATGTATGCATCATCAAATAGCATGAATATAATCAAGGTACACAAATTAAAGTATCAATATACACAAATCCTAATAATCAAATTCATTAATTTCAACAATCATATCAAGCACTAGGAAAGACACATCAAATGGAATCATACTCAACAAGCATATGTATCAAAGAGTGAGCACACATAAACCAATAATTAATAGTCATGCTAATGTGATTATACTTAATGAATAAATGCAATAGGATAAATG